TACAGAGGCATTGTTTCCCTTCTTGTATTCAAACAGCATTACATGCTGAATGTGTGTCTCACCATGTGCCATCACTATAAGGGTTTAAAGTACACTAAACTTTACACATTATATAGGCTACACTAAAGTGACATTTAGGCGGTTCGTTTAACTATTATACGTAATGTACGTTTTTTGGGGGTGGTTATTGAAAGTGTTCCAAAACTTGACATTAATTTCTTGACGACCTAATAGTAACCTGATACTGCATGACATCCATGTCAAGACAAGATAAAATGTAATCCCAATAAATTCCATCAATTTCAAACTCATACACATGGATTCATATTAAATGGGTAAATGAAATGAAAACTGTCAATAACCAAATGTTAAAAATGAAGTATGAGCTTACTTATTTACCTGTGAAAGTATATGAGAGATCTTGTAATCACATTGGTTGTAAACTTGAAATACCATGATTGACAGATACATACCAGTAGTAATCTCAACCCATTCTACGTAATGTCATGATGTAGATGATTCATCATTCATACCATTTTTATCATAGATTATTGTAGCACACATTCTTTTGCTATAACCATACCCAATGATAACGTATAGCATACCATTCTCAGGACAACAGAGTTTGTTTACACTTGATGATATGACATAAAACAAGTATCTGCCAGAACAACGTATAGGCTGTTTATAATCCCCATTCATAATTTTCTGACTAGCTGTCAATTTGATTTAGGTAAACATCGCTAAGTTTGGTTTATGCATTATGTACTCTGCACCACAAAGTTTATTGTATGGTCTTGTTTCTACAAATTCAATGGCTAAAAAGAATTTTAAATGGTTTTAAAGTTTTGTTTGTGTGTTTTCAATTAGTAAGTTCTTCTGGATCCAATGAAACCTGCCAGACCAAATTAGAGCATGAAAAGATCTGTCGTTTGATGTATTATTGATTCCTATTGGTCAGCCAATTTGAACTGACAACCTTGTTTTCGTTTTAACATTTACTTGCTGATCTCTAACAAATGATGGAGAATGGGTTTAGCAATGGGTTGCCTTGAAATAAATCGTGCAAATTCAGCATGTATTAGTACTGTAGATGTTTTCATTTGTTTTATGGTGTACAATAATTAGTATGTTTTATGTGAGATTTATATATTCGCAACTGAGATTTTGCACTCACACACTTCCATGGGCAGAAATTATAATTCTATGATTTTATGAAGTGACAATGTTCTCATCTCAATAGAGGACAAGCTCCAAATTTAAGTTGTACTAAAAATAATCAGTGATATAGACCACGGGATCCAAGACAAAGGTCATCCACTATGATCATCTCTGGAAGTATATCGGTGAGAGAATGGCCAACTAAGTAACTTCAGAGAAGAATGTGTCAGCAAAAACCCAACCTACTGAAAAGCCAAAAGTTCCTGATAAGACTACTTCCAGATATTCATCAAAGACGAAGGTACCAGTGGATTAACTCAATCATCTACTCTGGAATAACTCCCCCAGCAATAAAACAGTTAGTGAAAACAAGGACCAAGACACCATCTCATCTGTATACCGTGGGCCTCAGAAGAGAAAACCACCAAAAGGACTTGCTTAATGGAGAGTTTAGTGTGGTATTTTGTATCATGTATTAATATTATTCAATGGACTACACAATCCAGGAAGCTATATTCTAATGTTGTAATTATCTGTTTGCTAAAGGAGCTGTGGGTCATTATGATGATGATGTTATGACAAAAAAAAAAGGTAGACCTAGAACATATAGAATGTCTTAAGAGGTTTGATGTCAGATTTTATGGTAAATTTGAGGGTAGATTATAAATACAGGATTCAGCAAAGTATCAAACAGATGGCTTAGAAAATAGAGAACTGTTTCTAGCCAACAGAGTAAATTAGTCATCTTCTACAATTAACTATTGATGGTAAACATGTTGATGCCTTTCCCAACGAGACTAAGATTTAAAAATATATTGTAACAGAAATATAAAATCAAAACAAAAATAAATAAAAACTAGGTTAAGGTTGCCCAAAACTCTAAGGGAAATTCTAATATTATCAAGATAAAATTATCTTGATTATAGATTTTTTTTAAAACTTAAAAAGACCACCAAGAACAAGTTAAATATTGCCTTCATACATTTCATGAAATAATCAAGTATTCAGCTAGGAAAGAATAACAAGGCTTAGGTCCATAAACTTCTTTTGAAACACAATGCAGAGAGAGAAAAGTTTTACAAGAGGTACATTTTTCTAACAGTATCTACAGGTACTTTTATTTACTACAGATATGACATGAAAGACCCTAAATACATACATAAAAATAAAATCATATCTTGTTATTCTTTTATAGACAAAATAAAATAAGAAAAAAAAACATGAAATATTTCAATTTGTATGTGTAATTGCTGTTAGATTATGTTGATATAATGAAACTGAAGTTTAAAACATAAAATATGAACAACAGGGAACCATTTGGTTATACAAGGCTGTCCTTTATAAAAGTAAAAATTTTAAACCCACCCTTTACTTTTCAGGAAATCATCAGTTTTTATCTTAAATATTTCACAATTTCCATATTCTAACAATATATTTTCATAAACTGCTGCAACCAGGTTGAGCAAACAATTAAACAACAAAATGGTACAAAGGATACTTTCACTATTCACTATTAAGCTGTAGATATTAATGCACTCTGTGATCAATGTACTCATTTAACGGCAATGCTTTATCTCAACCACGATTCCAACAGCCAGATCCACTTACCATTTTTCAATACCAAAACAGAACATTTTTTAAACAGATGCATGATATGTCAAAGAATTCTAACATTGCATGTTAACGTTGAAAGCTGAAGCCTACAATCCTATTTCTCAAAAAATGCTATCACAAATTAGAATTAAAATATGTAACTTCTAATCTTGCTTTAATTTCAATTTGTAGATTTTGTGTCAGAAATATTGAATTCCAACAATCAAATTCCCTCTTTATCTTTGAAGTTAATGTACAATGTAATTGTCTGCCATTTAATTATATATATATATATTTACGAATGAAATTTCAATTATTATTTTATATATATTGTACACAACTATTGTTGGCTTTTAATTTCATTACATGTCAAAATTATGTTCTTCCATTGGTAACTGTTCAGCCAGTAGCTTTACACATACTACTACTAGTACTACTAGTTGTATTACCAATACTCAGAATTTATTTTCAAATTTTTTACTTACACTATAATTATGTTTGAACTTACACTGATCAATTATCAACACATAAACTCACCTGTTTGTTCCCTGAAGAGACATCTCCAAACTCCTGAGCCTCAGGTTTCCTTAACGGAGAGGCCTTGTTTTGCAATCACCATTTCACAATCAAATGAATCTGGTATTGTTAATATTATGTTCAACACAGGTTAATTTTGAGGTTAATGAAGTTCTTTCACTGCAACAAAGTGGAAATCCGCACATATTAAACTATATGAGGGGAATTACGTAAACTTTCATGTACCATAGTTAAGAGTATACAAACAATTTAAGTTTTTGTACAGTCAACAGCACCCCTCTATAACTTGTACACCAACTCGCAGCTGACTAGTGCCATATTCCTACAATTTCAAGTTGTACAACACGCTAGCACGAGAAGTGCACGAAAACACTGACGTAACTTTTTAAACCTGAAATTAAGTTACCATCATCATGATTATTAAACAATTTTAAGAATGTTACTTACAGTACTTACTCGTACACAAACATAAAAATGATAAAGAACGTTCCCATTATTGGAAGTATTTCGACACATACGTTCGTAACCTCAATCTCATCCAATTTCTCTTTGCAACAGATTATTTTCATTGGCTAGAAAACACATGGAAAACCACTACCACTGGTATCAATCCGCAAGTACCGAAAACGTACACTAGGTGGCAGGACAGTTTTGTTAGAGCCTCTAAACTAATCTTTCGTTTTTATAGCCTTCCCTGGAGTAAACAGGTGCTTTATGGTGAACGACATTTGTTTATATCCGACTCTTAAACCGTATTTCGCTCTAAATAAAATATTATCTAACGCTATTGGGTCTTATAAAATAATATTAAAAAAAATAATACTTCCTTATAAGTAATTAAAATGATAATATATACAAGAAATACCCGAGCAAACATTACTTTGACTTATGACTAAATGTGTTTTTACATGCAATCAATCTCAAGATCTGTTGCGAAATGTTTAAGTGTACAGTCAGTTTCCTTGGATGTTATACATAACTTTTCAAGTATCACTTAATGGCATTCTCATAAGTTTATATTCAGCTACCAATGAATGACAGAATGTCAGCGGACTCAACCAATGAATTCGCCCAACAGTCTCTCACCTGCATTGGCTACTCAGAGAAATAAAAACAGGTTTTAATAACATAATAATAATAATTCAGGATTAGAAATATAAAGTCAAAATGTCATTAATTAACCAAGAATTGTTTAGTTTTCTGAATGAGTGTCTTTGAAAAACGGGCTTATCTATTTGAATCTCAAATGTATTGTTGCGTCAGCGAGGTCACGTGACTAGTATCACGCCACGTACTTCTCGAACCTTCGTGAATTATCGGGTGATTAGTAGATTGGGTGTAGTCTGGTATATATAAGATGGTCACAACGTGACGGGACAATGAGTAATTGAACTGCAGTCAGAGAGTGTGTAATTGAACTGAGTATTATTGAAGTTGAC